ATTAACTTCATAGTACGGACCTGGATTACGCCGAAATCGAATCGATAGCTCGAACGGAAGACAAATCGACGAAATCAAACGAACGGGTCAAATTGAGTCAAAATACGAAATCGACCAATCAATCCGGCGTGGAGGTTAATCTGCCGGCGATATCAACTCGGGGCAGCGGCCGGATGCGGCGACGGTGACGGACGCCGGCGACAGTGGCGTAGCGGCAGCTCGACGGCGGTGAGCAGCGACTGGCGGCGCTGAAATCGACGGCGAGGAAAACAGCGGCGGCGACTGGCTGGGGAAGGGCAACCGGCGCTGGACTCGACGGCGATGATGGTGGTCGCCGGTAGGGGAGGCGACGGACTTCCGGCGAAGGTGAAACAACAGCTGGGAGCTCGGCAGCTGGAGGCTCGGGCGACGGCGATGAGCGGCGACGCCGGCGTTTGGCGTGGCGGCGCTGCACCCGTCGGCGATGATGGCGGCGGCTACTGGCGAAGGAAGCAGCGGCGCCGCTGGAGGCTTGGCGACGCTGGGCGTCGACTGCTCCAATTGGACGGCGACGACCGGCGGCTGGCTCACGGCGGCGATGTTGGCTGGGTTAGACGAAGAAGAAAGAAGAAGAAGGAGAAGAAAGAAGAAGGACGAAGAAGAATCGAAGAAGGAGAACGGGAAGAAGAAGAACGAACGAAGATAAGATAAGGATTGTGTGGCTGAGGTTTAGGTTTATTTAATGGTCCCATTCCAAAAAGGATTGGGCTTCGGACCCAAAATACCTGATTAAATGGTCATAACATGAGATCCATAACTCCGATTCGCGAGCCGTCTTAACCGACGCGATCACAAAAATATTTCCTACGAGATGACATAAAAGTTGGGCTTAAAATCCAAATTATAATTTTAACCCCTTTTTGGGCCCAATTCGTAATCAATTGCTCTAACAATTTAATTAATTCTTTTGGGCCAGGTTTCGGGGCGTTACATTTCTACCACTTGGTGTAATCCCAACACCAAGAATACAAATCCCTTACAATAAAGTAAGAAAACAAACCGCAACCGAGTAATTCTCCCAACACGGAGTAGATTGTTGCAAATACAATGAAGTCCTTTAGAATATGGCAATATCTCTCAAAGACTCAAGCAATGAAGAAAAACTCAAGCAAGAAATGATTTTGCAATCAAAACAATTGCCTTGCTTGGATATAAGGAGGGGATTGAGTAGAATCTCTTTGGATATTCAAAGGATATGTTCTTCAAAGTGTTCTAAGTGTTCTCCTAAAGATAATCTCGAAAGTAGATAGTTTATAGAAGTTGGGGAGTGGATAGGGATGAAAAGGATTCAAAAAACTAGCCGTTTGGTAGTAGAAACTGTCGACTTATTCGAATAACTCAAGAACTATTCGAATAGTTTAAATCAATCGCGTGGCTTGAAAAAACCAGTTCCTATTCGAATAAATAACCATTTATTCGAATAAATCAGGGTGAAAAGCCAGGACTTATTCGAATAAGTGGTGATTTATTCGAATAAATCAGGTTGATTTCAGCAACAGGAAAGATCACGACTTATTCGAATAAACTAAAGATTATTCAAATAGAAAGGTAGCTTCCCCACACAAAGGCTGATCTAAAATGAGTTTTAAAGGTAAGATGATAAGGTAATGAACCTTAGAGATGCCATACTCTTTAACACATAATCTAAGACCTAAAACACTACCCAACTAAGGAAACAACCTCTTTGGTCTCGTTCCTTCCACCGATGCTCAAGTCCCTTCTTCACGGACGGATATGAACTTGTTGTAGCTTTGATTCTTAGCCTTGATGCACAAAATGATGATGATATTTTGTCACTCTTTTGTCATTATCAAAACCTAAAATACAATGGGCAAAGGACATTGCAAAAATATATATGCATGATAGCACATTGTCCAACAGCAAGTACCCCCAATGCATCGCATGCCTCCTCGAATGAGTTATACAGAACATTGTTAACTGTCTTCAAGCTTTCATAACTTGTACACCCCCGCTGGACAGTTAATAGTATTCTCAAGTAGTATAACTCTCTGGTTCCTACAGGCATATATTGTAAGCGGCCTATTGATGGTCTTTGTTTCCTCGAATGCCATTCTCTCTCCTTGTTGTTGAACACAAAATGCCATGGAAATTTTGCATACGTTAAATTTTCACCCGCTTTGTACTTTGAATTGGCAATCATCCAAGCCTCAAACATTTAAGGCTTGTAAAGATTTTGTCTGGCAATTTTTGTTGCTCCTTAAAAGTGACAAATTTCTGTCATGGTTATTGGAAATTCAACCTCAATACTGCTGGCCATCTGTGGTGTATATCAAAAGAGAGGATTCTCCAAGATGCTTCACACCATAAAAAGTAAACATGAGGCTATGAAAATTAAACTCCACACCATAAAATATGTTCAAAAACAGGAGGCTATAAATCTGAAATTAAGGTCTTAAAAATAAGGACAGACTCAAGTCGTCAATACTTTAATAAAAAATATGTTTTTATGGTACACTATAAGAACGGCAGAGTTATTATTTTATAAATTATAAGAATTCCTTAATAGGCACTATTAAAAAAAATTTAGTATCATGGTTTTAGGCACTGGAGAAACTTCAACATGAATAGGCACTAAAAAAACTAAACAGACTATAGTGTGTTTTGTTTTTTAATACTTAGAATCAGAACAGAGTATAGTGTGTTTTGTTTTTTCAATACTTTGAATCTGGAAAAACTTCAAGAGACTAAAAACTAAACTCCACACCATAAAATATGTTCAAAAACATCAGACTATAAATCTGAAAATAAGTACAGGCTCAACTCTTCAGTACTTTAATAGAAAAAATTATTTTTTATGGTGCTGAAAATAGAAGCTTCAAGGAAAGCAGACTCATTATACTTTAAGAACAGCACACTTATCATTCTTGATTTATTTATTCAATATGGGCAATTGAAGAATTTTGGTTTTTTATACAGATTAGTATAATTGTGTTTTGAAAGTAAAAGCAAAATAGCTTTCCAGGCACTAAAAAATTATAAGAAATCCAATTAAACATAAATTTTATATTGTATGCAAAATACGAATAAGTGTACAATTCTTACATGTTCGTCCATGAATATCATCTCAATCGAATTTGTCATCTTCTCATCATTATACACTGGCATCTTGTACAGTCGAATCACACGAACCAAAACTCTCCAGCATTCACTTGATGGATTGATCTTCAACAAAGGGTGGATCGGTTTGGAAGACATGTCGATTAATCAGAGGTTTTAGGTATGAACGCGGCTTACAATGAAAAAATAGATTGATGAAATGGCTTACTTAAAATTTGATTTATATATGACCTAATATAAATCGCAAGAAGGAAACTTATAGCAATAAGGTAGAAAATCTAGAGATTTGAACCGGAAAATTCGAAAGAAGAACAAATTTCGCAGAGACTAATCATCATAAGAAGGAAAGAAGACCAATCATCCCAAAAACAATTATGATTTTTTAAGAAAAGGGAAAGTTACCTATTCTTGGTACCGATCGTTGGAATCTTCGTGAAGAAGGACCGTGAAGAAGGAAAGAGATTAATTCCAATCACATATTCTCTGAAGTCTCGCGGTGGAGCCATTCGAAGATGAATATCGCAAGGAAGTGCAATCGAAGGAAAGTGCCGCTGATGTCTCGCTTCATTCAGACTTGCGGATGAATTTCACACAGAGTAGCCCAAATAAAAGAAGCCCAATGTAATGAATCATTATCCAACCCGTTTGAAATATTGAGTAAGTCCAATATGATGACATGGCTTATGATGTGTCAAAAAAATCCCCGTCAGCATGACAAATGTCAAAATTCTGGGAGTTAAACTCCCAAATATAATATATAAAGGATAAAGGATAAAGATAAAGATACACAAGTTAGAATTTCAACATTTATAGTAATACCTCACAAATTCAATACAAAAACAATTTTTTATAACAATGTACGAAAAAACCAGCCGGGAGGGGCGTCAGTTTGAGGCGGCGGAGACGGGGATGCAGTGGCGACGGATGCGGCGATGGGACGACGAAGGAAGGCTGCAGCGACAGCAGTTCAGGTGAGGAGGGTGACAGTAGAAGAGCGGCGACAGTGATGGTAGAGCAATGGCGACGCGAACGGTGGAGTAGCGGTGATGGGACGGTGAAGGAAGGCCGCGGAAACGGCAATTCAGTTGAGGAGGGAAACAGTAGAAGAGCGGCGACGACGATGGTAGAGTAGTGGCGACACGAAGGGTGGAGTAGCGGCGATGGGCGACGCGACAAAAGTTTTTTTAATATCGCGTAAGAGATAACACAACGTGTGGATAAATTTAACAGAACTTATTACATCGGTCATTTACAATAACCGATGCAAATAACCTTATGCATCTGTTATTAGATATGACCGATTTAAAAGACTTTAAGCGTTTACATCGGTTATATCTAATAACCGTAGCAAAATATTATTTGCATCAGTTATTTTAAATAACTGATTTAAATAAAAGCGGTTGGTGAATTTGTACACCTATTACAACGATTATTTACGTAACCGATGCAAATGAGGTAATTTATTTGCTTGTTTTTGTACTAGTGGAAGAATTTTTTTTGCAAATAAATATATACTTTCTCCGTTCTTGAAAATACTTCCGTCCTAATTTTTTGCACACCCAATAAAATACATTTTCTTCCACCTAAACTGTCTAAAATACTCCCCATTATGTAATTTATTGCGGGTAGAAGTTCTTTGAAAGGTATTTTAGACATTTAAGGTAGAGTAAAATTATTTTATGAGGTGCACAAAAAATTGGAACGGATGTGTTTTAAAAAATGGATAGAGTACAAAAAATTGAGACCCCTTCAAAAATGGGCCGGGACCAGGTGGCCACCTTGTCCACCCTTAGAACCACCTTACATTTTAACTACGGAGTAGTATTTTAGGAATGGAATAAAGAATGAAACTGTTATTCTTATGTACTTTTTTTACTCGTACTTTTTTGTTTTTCTCAAGTTTAAAGGAATTAAAATTTTTTGCTATGGTGATAGTTTTCGTATTACTGCCTGAATATAAAGGATTTCTAAAATATTTAAACATGGAGAGGTCAATATTTACCCAGAAAGAAAGAAATAATTTGAATGGTGTCAATATTTATTCCTTAACATATAGAGAGTATAATTAATGCGATTTTATGTCCCGGCTCACGAGATATGATATGATTCTAATCCTATTTATGGTAGGAAACAAATTGTGACCAAATTTTAACATAACGGATGAAATGGTTAGTTACCATAACGTACGGTATCATAACAAATTTAGTATAGTGTCATCTCCATCAGGCGTTAAATAAAGCTCTAATCAAACCACAATATTTCTTCAAGCTGTAAACGCCAAGCAAAAATGACAAGAAACATGAAGCCGTCATTCCCGTCAACTTTGTTGGTTATCCTCTTCGTCGCTCTTGCATATGGTACGCATTCCCACTTCCAATCCTCTCCCACTTTAGTTGAAAGAGTTTTGACCTTTTGTAGTATTGAAACACATTCGTACGGCGGGTTATTTTGACATCAACTTTGGTGTTATATTGTAAAGCCATCCCAATTTAAAATTTATGTAATGCTCTACTCCCTCCGTCCCAAAACGTCTTTCCTGTTTTATTTTTTGCGCATCCCATAAAACACTTATATCCCGCCTTGAATGCCAAAAAAACTTTTAAAATAACTTCTACCCACAATAAAGAAGAAATGTTGTAAATTTTAGGCATTTTAAATGTCGGTAGAAGTGTTTTATGGGATGCGCAAAAAATGAAACAGGAAAGACTTTTTGGGACGGAGGGAGTATAAGATTTGAAAGTAGTTCCTACCCCTAAACATGTTTCCATTTTTTTCGCCGATTGGCAACGTTAATTTACTAGGAAGGGGTAAGGACAGTCCAGAGGATTCTAGAGTCCATGACGAGACGAAAGAAAATAATGATCTTAGCCTATCAAATTAAATTATATCGACTAGCTTTGTTTTTTTTAACATATAAACTAATTTTATTCAAACGAAAAATAATAAGTGTTTAATTCAAAAAAAAATATTCGTTTCTTAAATATATATCATAAATTTCCTCTGCCCCTTAAATTCTAAAAAAAATTCCCCTTTGACGTTTTTAGTATGTCAATTTTCTTTTTTAATTAAAAAGTCACTTCTTAAGTTTTATCCCAACGAAATCTTACCATTCCTATATATCACACTATATTTATTAAATTCACTACTAATCAACATATTACATCTACATTTACAGATCACATCATTGAAAATTTGAAAAAGTTAAAGCACAAATGTACTTACCTAAAACTTTTAAAAGTCAAAATACAAAAAAGATTTTTGGAACAGCTAGAGTATATAAACAAAAATATTTTTGACCCCCCAAAAATGGACTCCTTTGCCCACTGCACCCTTGAACCGGCCTTAGCGGGGGCAAAGGTGGGAGACACGATTAGAGGTCTTAGTGGTAAAAGTCACTTTCAGATTGAAGAAAAAAATGTCAAAATAATTACTCCCTCCACCCCCATAAAGTCAAACATATCTCACTTTAT